CTGGGCTTCAGAAAATGGAACAGGATTCTTTTCGTCCTTCTCATAAAAGATTGTAGAAGACAAAATACTATTTTTAGTGGTTATTTTGGTGCTATCAACTTCTGCCTTGCGGAGGCGGGAAAAGATGAGGAAGAATGATACTGGAGATATTGGAAGCAGAAATTACTTATCATTGTAAAAGAACTGGAGTGGAGAATCCTCTTAACAAGCAGTGTGAAATTACTCTCTGAAAATACCATGCTGACAGGGTTAACGCAACAGAGATTAATTGCATAGAAAACTATTAAAATGGAGCTAACTCTTGCAACCATTTGTCAAAAGTACCAGAAGCAAATCAAAACTCAGAAAATGAGTTAAAGTTTTTCTCAGCTCCCACTAAGCAAAAAAAGCAAGAAAAGTCCCCTCTCCCCCTTTTTTTAAACACTTAGAAAGCCCCGATGAGCTCATGCATGTTGCCCCATGTAACAAATGTGGACTGGAAAAAAAAAAAAGCCACCCTATGAGAAGGCACCAGCCTTCTTGTCCATAGACATCTATGGATTCAAAATGGAAGAAGTGGTTTGCTAAAAATAAAGTGTATTACAAAGATAACAGGAGAAAGCAGAGACAATTTTTTTTCCTCAGTGTTAAAAGTTGTAAAGCTTTAAAACGTCCTGTATGCAAATAACATGTCCACACACTTTCAAAGCAGAGATTACATACCCATAAGGTAGGTCTGCTGAAACTTTTCAGTTGAAGGAAGCTGACCTGTTACGAAGAATGCTCTGATACAGGCAGAACTGGAGCCCTGAGATTCCCAAAAATCACACAGGTTTTCAAAGAAACTAAAGCTCCTGTCACTCTGCCCTGGGAACACAGATGAAAACAGGTTTCTAAGTCTCCTTAGCAGATGCCTGTTGGTGAACGCATTTTGGAGGACTCTGTAGGAGTGAAGGAGAAGGAGGTAGAAAGGTCTCTTAAATGGCTGGGCAATGCAAAAGGAGAGAAACCAAAAACTTTGTGCTCATTTGATAATTTTTATCAATTCTGCTAAGCATAGATATCCCCGCTTGATTGATTTTATTCCCATTGTCTGCTCAGTTCAGTCTAAGTCTTCAGTTTAGATATGACAACTGTTTTTTAGGTTAGGATGAGAAAGGTAGAATAGAGCCTCTATGAGTCATTTTAAGCTGAAAATATACAGCTGCTGTTTGAATGTACACATCACCAAAAAAGCACCTATCATCCGTGCCTCTGCGAAAGCCCCTAAAGCGTTTCCTTTCCACTAGCAGCACTCGCTGCTCAGTGATGAGGAAAGCAATTAAGGTGTGCACAGGAAGCTAAATGACTATTAAATTTTTTTTTCCTATAAGACATACCAAAATTTCTCTACGGCAAATGGATTGCTTTCAAGAGGGCGCAAATCCAGGAGAAGAAGAAAAGTTTGAAAAAAATTAGGGTGTTGCTTTGAAAGCTATAAAGTCTCCACAGTCTTCTCATTATTCCTTGTACAGGAAGATGGTGTAAGACGTCCCTGTGAGCAGAACCAACATAGGTGTTTGGTTCTGCTTAAACGTCAAATTCTGAGAAGTGATCCCCACTTCTTGTAAGTGTACCAGGAAGTTCAATGTGAGCAACAGCGGAGGGCTTCCATCAAAAAGCATTATATTTCTATCGGCATAGCTTGTTTGCATACAAGCATAAGCAAGAGGTGGAGAGACTTGCTCGCGTGAGGGAAGGCTGTTTCTGTGCATGCACTGTGATTGCAGGCATTCAGTAAACACAAAAAGAATCTCAGCTAAGTTTTACTGGTATTAGTCATTTAGAAAGATGTTTCCTTCTTTCATTATATCCCATTTTCTGCATGACTCTCTGTACACTTTCTTTCTGTGTGCGTGCTCTGTGCTGCACCAGTGCCGTTCAGTTTCTCTGTTGTGCCCAGGTACAGTTTGTGGGTGCGTTAGGGCTGTGGTTATCTTCACTTGCCCTCTTCTTACTGTTGCCCAGGGTCTTTTTTTTTCCTCCCCAAAATGGCTTGACTTCTCTGGTCTAAAAAGGGGAGATTTGGGTGCCAGAAGCAGGATGGAGAGCGTCCGCGTATGCGCGGCACTTCGCCAGGTGCGGCTGCGAGGGCGGGCGAGGAGGAGGAGGAGGAGCTGGGCCCTCGCAGTGGGTGAGCCGAGTGGGTAGCTTCATCAGAGCCTCAGCCGGTGCTGCGCTCTTCACTCGCTCTGCTGAATCATAGTTCCTCCGTCAGTGCAGGGAGATGAAAGGGTCCTTTCCCCACCAACTTCCTCACCCCACAGGCAGCATTTGCGTTGGCCTGCCATGTGCCCCAGCCGTGCCGCCCGCCTTCAGGGTTGGAAGCCATCTGGCGCCGTTGGCTTTCCTGGGGTGGCCAGAGATGCGTTGTGCTGCCTCAGGGCCTCCCTGCCCCGGCAACCACCTCGCTTCCGAACCCTTCTGCTGGCCAGGGCCTCGTGGTGGGCAGGCTGGTTGGGGTGTCACCATCCTCCAGCTCAGAGACCCAGCACGAAACGCGTCCCCCCAGTGTTGTTCTGTGACTGTCCCCTCGCTCAGCCCAGTCCAACATGTGGTGGGGGAGTGATGGAGGTGTGGGGCTTCACCCTGCTTCAGGGAAAGTCAAACCAGACTGAACGCACGCCTCTAAAAAATAATTACTAAGAAGTACTCAACTGGACTTTCTATCCCAGATTTTAGTAAGACAGTTCTCCCAGGCAAAAGGAAAACAAAGCACGCTAATTTGGCACATCCAGATGACAGCTCCTGTTGTGGCCTTACATTAACTTTAACCTTTTAACATCATTACACCAGAACTTAGCGAAGAGCACCCTCACAGCTCGGGCAGCAAAGGAAGAGAGTCAGAGCACTGAACGGGGGAAGTGACGGGCTGAGCTTCCATACACACAGTTTCTCACGTGCTAAACTGCTTTTTTAGCAGCTGAACCTTCTCCTCCAGGTGCAAACAAAGGCCTTCTTAATTTCAGTCAAGTTCCTAATACTACATAATTTAAAAACAGATGGCTGCTAAGGAAAGAAAATGCTTTTCACCTTCCCATCTCTGAATAGACTAGAGGATCAAAAGAAGCGGCTACTTGTACAAGTCAGCAGACAGTGGTCATACTGGTTTCTTCAATTAATTAGCCACGGATAACGCTTCTGTCACTTGAGATCCCAGTTGAAATCCAAAGTCATTTTTCAGTCAGTTCATATTTAAGATAATTAAAAATTTTTCTGCATCTAACTAAAGTTATGATTGGTATCCAAGCAGTTTCACACAAAATCATGAAGACTGAGTTAATCAGCCATTAAATATCACCCTCTGTCAGGAAAAAAAAACCTCGAGTGTAACAATAAGCAGTCCTCAAATTATTAGAAAGTTCCTTAAATATGTATATACCATGTCCCTTGCTGTTAAAATTAACAGATACATTCAAATTTGTATTTAGCTGCAATTCAAAAGTGTTCAAAGATAACCAACCATTCAGAATTAACCTCTTTCATATATCTAAGACAAAATTAAACATAAATTACTCAAGGTGTTTTGCATGCTGATTGAAAATGTGAGTGGATCTACGATGGGCAGGACTTTTATAGTCCATGCAGTGCACTGTTGGTATGAGGATTTGGCAGTTTCTTTGTGTTGCACCTCATTCCTCACTAATCTTTCCGAAAAAGGTACCCTGCCATCCCTCTCCTTCACAGCTTGGCCTGTTCTTTCATTTTGCCAAGGACAATAGCATTGCTTCATTTCTTCCCAGACATCATTTTCCCCCCTTCCTCAGTATCTCTCACAGTGCATATCCCCAAGTCTTTTGTAAAATACGAAACAATATTTTTTTATTTAAAGAGGAGCAAGAACAGTGAACGTAGAGATGTCAAGACTTCAAACTCATCAACACAAGGACTGTCTTAATTTTTTCTGTTACAACTCCACACAGAGAGTTAGTAAAACACAAGTAAAATAAAATGTGAAAATGTTCAAATCACTCCAAACTATCAGCAGAAACTGGGCTAAGTAAAGGCAGGCTGTCCTGCATCACATTTCTAGGAGGGAATCTAGTTGTCCAGCCAACAAGCATTACATAGCTCCATTATATTGACTTCTTCTACCTAGTGCATGCAAAGCATATACGGAATTCTCCACAAACCATTGCCAAGAGGAAGGCAAACTATAGAAGATCTGTCCTCATTTTCCCACCTTACTCCCAAAATAGGAAAAAAAGAATGGTTTGTTCTCTGGTCCATAGTGCTTTCTCATTGTCATGAAAAGAGGCAGGACAGCAATGGCTAGTAAAGTTAAAAAAAAAAAAAAAAAAAAAAAAGCACTATGCAATTTAACCTGACAGTGCATTTGGAGAAATGGATCAGGATGTAAATTAATTTGAAGGGAGAGTAGGACTTCTTTCAGGAATACGTAGGCATCATATACTAAGGAGAAAAATAATTGAATTGGAAAACAAAGTGAGAACAAGATCATTTTAGAAATCAGGTATTTTTGGCTGAGATTAAAACATTACTTTTTTTTTCTTCAGAGATGCATTAACACTGTTCAGTTTGCAAGAAACAGTAGGGTGGCAAGAAATTAAGATATCATTGGAATTAAGGAAGTTCTCTATGAAACATTATTATTATTGGCTAAGAAAGGGCAGATTTAGGCACAGTGATCTGAGGCAGAGAAAGCTCTTCAAGAAAATAATGGGAGTTCCTTTGCTTTGCACTGTAATTAGGCATACGAGGTAATTGTTACAACTCAGATGTACGGGCCTGTTTTCAAACATTAATTTTCAAAGTGATCAGTGCCTGTAGTGGTAGGGTTGATGGCATTAAATCTGCGTCCTCATTGTCCATTAACTCTTCTGAAGTAATGAACAACTCTCATAAGGGAGTGAATATCAGTATCTTTAGTAACAAAGTAACATGTAACGCTGTACTAGTAGTAAAACACACCTATATTCCTTGACATTTTTTTTGTCTAATTCGCTATTCTTCTCTCCCAGGTGATTATCTTAATTATTGAAACACAGTGCAAAAATGATACTGCAGCTCTAAAACGCATAGTGCACAATAAATTTATTACAAGGAGGATCATTGTTAAGAGAGAAGATAGATGTCAGAACGGTGAATACAGTTCAGGTGATGACTGTTGCAAGAAATGTAATCGTGGTGAGTATCATAAGACTGTGTCGAAAAGTCATTAAGAGTGGAAACCACAGCTTACACAATTGCTTTCTGCTGGGATAGCTAAGTGGCACGCTGTGGTTTCCTGAATGTGATGCTTCATTCTAGCTGTATCTTTCTCTATTTGCAGGACATCAGACACTTCATAAGTATTTCTTGAGCTCAGCGTACCAATAACTTTTCACTACAGATAGTGGCTATCACATAACATGCTTGTCACAAAAGAGCTAAGCATTACATACATATCTTTGAAAGAGGTTACAGTTCAAGCACAGGCTTTTGCCTACAAAACTCTATATATTCATGGTTTTTCCTATTTTGCATGTACAGTTTTGTTTGGTGTGTTCTCCATAGTCCTAAATTGGAGGAAGAGGGGGGATAATCACATTTTATCTATACTACATTCCTGAAGAGCATATATGTATACATAAAGAATATAGATCCTGTCCATATTTGTAAATCAAAAAGTATTAGGGATTAAAAAGAAAGTCTGACATAGGTCTTAGAGCTGATGGCTTCTGTCCAAAGGTATTGCACATCTTCATTCTGGTTTTTCTGTCTCTACAGGTTTTGTTAAAAATATCAGCTGCCCAACAGATATTAACAAACACTGTGTTCCATGTAAGAATGGAAAGGAATACATACATCATGAAAATGATTTGGAGGAATGTATGAGATGCTCTTCATGTGACAGCATATTAGGTATGTCTATAGAAATAGCAACTCCAACAATGACTTTTTTGATACAGGATCTGACTGAAAAGTCACCACAATCCCTGAATAGTGGGTAGGATGCAGGTTAAAATGTTTTAGTGGTAGTACATGAAGGAATTTATGACAAAGTCATAAGTTTATCCTCCAGTTCCCTTTCATCAAGCACAAAGTAGGAAGAAGAGCAAGCTATGCTGGCCCATTGTTTTTCCTTGTATCTGTCTTTGTGCAGCAGTCCTTGCGAAGCAGACCCTATACAAACTGGTTAGAGTTAAGGAAGAAAAGCTTGCGCTCTCCTTCACGCTCTATTTAAAAGAAGAGGGGTGTTGTAAGAAGCAGGGATGGGAGAAGTCCCAATGGTTTCTTTCATAGCCTTTCATGTAATTAATAATATTATTTAAAATTGCTGGAGCTGATGGAGTGATGTCTTTTATACATGCAAGATGCCGTGTGGCATGTAGGATCAAATTATGAGACCACAAGGCATGCCCTACTAGGTCAGGCCAGCGGTCCGCCTACCCCAGTATTCTACCGTCAGCAGTGGAGGCAAGAGATGCTATTTAGAAAAAACACAAACAAACCTGTCTACTTTCTGTGGTCTGTTCCCTGCAAAGTCTACCAGCATCCACAGTTGTGGGAAAGGACATTAGAAGGTCCATCCCTACCTAGTCATTTTGTGAGCCCTTTGTGCATGAACCTGCTGGGGGACACCAGGTTCCAGAAATTCACTACCTGTTGCATAAATATCCATCGTATTTTTTTAAAATCCATTGAACTGATCTCCTACCAGTTCCGCCAGGTGTCCTGTACTTCTAGTATTCCTGGATTTAGGGAATGATAATTGTGCATTCTTCGTATCCAAATTCAAGTTTAGTGAGCAGAAACACAGCTCAATTCCAGTATGGTTGTACTCAGATCACCTGCTGGAACATCAATCTTTAGTGCTTTCCCCTTCCTGTAAAACCTCGATATACATAGAAATATTTCCTCATTAGCTACTATAGTAAGCATTTTTGGATGGGTAATGAAGTTGAGTAGGCAAAACAATTCAGCATTTTGTACAGTGCCACAAAGGAAACTATCGTTTAAACTGAAGGGGAAAGAAAGGGTAACGGGCTGACTAATCACGGTATCCCACGGACAATATTGTAGTTGAAGTCAGTAGAAAACATTAGACAGGAGGAAAATTACCACTGAAGTTCCAGGAGAACCATTCTTAGGATCATTCATGTTTGATATTTCCATGAATGGTTTCAGCACTGATTTCACAGTACAGCTTCATCAAATTTTGTAAGATAACGTGTTTTCCCATTACAGCAGAACACTGAATGTGATAACTCAAAATTTCACTTCTATTCCTATATGCCTATGAAAATAGCTTTCATAGTAGGTAGTTACTTAAAGTAATTTTTAATGCAGAAATAATTTTCCATAGATGGAGATAGCTTCATTGTATATGCTGAGGATAGAAGAAAATTAATTTACTTGTTCTGATACTTAAGCAGGGAATATGTTTTAGCTAACAGAGAGAGGGGAATTCCTTACCATTGGAGGTCCTCAAGAAGAGATAAATTTGTTGTCAGGGAGAGTAAAGAACTTGTCTCTGACATCAAGCAGGGAGATGTGTAACGTGATGATCTGAGTTTCCTTCTGGCTTTACATTTCTGAACGAGAAAAAGCAGCTCATTTGGCGCTGCCAAACGAGTCCTCTTCCAGCGACCAGTTTTTTGAGCTCTTGGCCAGCAGAGGTCTCTCCGCCATCTCCAGCACTCCGGCAGCAGGGCTCTTCCTAAAACTTACCTCGCTCTTACAAGTAAGCCCCACCAGCGTGGTAGAGCTAAAAGCACGTAAGTCTGAGGACAAGAGGTTGTGAGCAGAGGTCTGCTTTTAAGGCCTACTTTTTCAAACTAACAAACTTTAAGAAATTTATTTTAGGTTTGGAGGTTGCAAAGAACTGTACCCCAGAGCAGAACACAGAATGCACCTGTGCAAAGAACTATTTTTGCAATTCTTCTGTACCATGTGGGCACTGTAATCCATGCACCATGTAAGTTTATGCCTTCATCGTTAAATATGAAATTGTTAATATCATATGTTAGCATGCTTTTTTCCAGCCAGTTTCAAGACAGAGGCTAAGGTAATGTGTAACCTGAGGGAAAACATACTCGTTTTCTGCTGCACTTAGCTTGTTGAGCTGACTTAGCTCAGTCAGTTTAACTTGCATCCGTGCAGTTTTCCAAAGGCGTGCAGAAAAAACCCACCAAGTCTGTATACACTTTTCAAGAAAATGTCATTAAGTATCTGAGCTTTCCTGTTGTCTTTGTGTGAACTACTGTTACATCTAGAAAATCATTTCCACACCTTTTTCCACCCCCATACCTTTCCATACTATTTTCAGACCTATTAAATTCCAAACTCCAACATCTTGATATATGAAATATTTAGCTGATAAAAAGTGTTAGAAGATTTTTATTTGCTCCATTGACAGAGTTTATAAAAGAAAGAAACAAATCCCATAATAATTTTTGTTCATGTTTTCTGCAGATGTGAAAGTGGCGTAATTGAAAAACAATGTACTTCAACTTCAGACACTGTGTGCGGCATGGAAGGTAGCGTTTTAAGACCTAGCATGGTCTAGCATCTGCTGTATTTTGAGAGGCTATTGCAATTGTACTGTTCTACACGGTGGCCCATAGTGATTCCTGACAGCTAAGGGCATCATATCTTCTGGGCCCTGTACTGACCTGTGGAGCATGGTTGCTCTTTTCCCTTGATCATTGTGCAGATGTAGGAGCTATTACTCCTTTTTAGGGGCAGCTCATGATAAGTAAGACTTTAACAAAGAGGTAGCTTCTACTATTAGGAGACGACAGAAGTGCTCTTATAATCTGATGCAATCGTGTTTAAAATTTAGAGTGTGTTGCAGTGTTGCATTTCTTGACTTAACTTACATGTAATGTTTCCAATGTTCCAACAGAAACAGGATTGCAGTGGTGGGCCACTACTTTGATCATTATGGTTCTACTATTACTAATAGCGGGAGCAATATTCTGTTGTAAGTGATTCCCTATTCCTGCTATACTCTGAATAAGATATTCAGCTGCTTACTCAGATGAGTCCAGACGAGAGATACACTCTGTCCTAGATTTTAAAAATGCTTTTTTTTGTTTCAGACAAGAGAAAATGGAAAAATTGTACAAGGAAGGAGACCCTAAATGATGTAGTCCTCAAACCAGTTGTTTCTTATGTAAGTATTGTTGCTTAGATCACAAAAAATCTCAGCTTCATGCAAGGAACTTTGTTCCATTTAAATTACACTGGGATTCCCCAGGCATGTGCATGCCTCTCTTCTATGACATTAATGAAGTAAATTTCACCATGAGGACATTTTTGGGATAAGTAAGAGAAACCCTATATTATTTCTTCAGGATGTGTTGATGTGCTTCCTAAGTGACATGACCAGGATCAAACCTTCATAAATCATCAGGCCTCCACTGACCCAGGGTGCCTGTCCCCATGTAAACTTTTAAGCAATAGCAATTGTGAGGTGATTCTCTTTCTAGTCAAAAGAGATCTGTCTGTCCTATCTGATTCCCTTGTTCATAGAACAGGGGAATCGTGGAAAAAACTAAAAGAAAATTGCAGAAGTGGTGTGAAATGTGTTTATCCTCTTATACAAGGTTGGTGTTTTATGAAATGTTTCTGCTCATTTCTCTCTTGCTTCTCTTTTCAGGAGAATGTACCTCTCATACACAGAGGTAAGAGACAAGTAATTTCTCAAAATTCAGTAGAAGAAAAAAAAAAAAACCCAGACATGTAAATCCTACACTAAAAAAGGGTATTTTTGTGTAGACTTTGTCACTGCCTAGAGCCATCATTCTAGCACAACAGTGAACACTTATTAAAGAAATGTCAGTTCATATTATGCTTATTAAGGCATTTAGTGGTATCATGAAAGTTTTGCCTCAGGAGGAATTTCTGTTGTATGGGAAGCAATTACTAATGAATAACAGCTGAATTTCTGTTCTGCATGTGGTACAGACACTAGGAGGCAGCAAGCTGAATTTTTAGAATCATGAATAATTACGATAATGGAGTAGTCCCACACCCAGCAGTGGGATCGCAGGAAGACAAACCTACCTCATGTTCAAGGGCAAATCCACAGTAGTAGCACACAATAGGAAGATAACATAAGTTCCAAGCCTGTATCACAACAAAAGACCTGTTTTGTTCCAGGACCCTTACCAATGCTATTTTGAGCAAAAAAAAGGTACATGAGGCATGACCACACTTTAATGATAGAGGAGGACAGAACAGGTTACAGAGGGAACTGAGATTCTGTTTCAAATGGTAGAAAGCAATATGGATGCAACCCTAAATATTTGAATTAACTAGCATTTGGCAGGAATATGTAAAAGTAGATCCGCTGGACATCATTGTAAAAAAACCACATATAAAACATACCATGTCACGAATACCTGAAACTTAATCTGTTTTGGATAGGACAAATATCAATTCTGAGCACAGGTAACAAAAAACCAGTAAGATATAAGTGCCAAGACCATTAATTTTCTTTTATGCTTCTAGATATTGACCTGAGCAGCCATGTTGCTGAAATTGTGGAGGAGATGACACTCCAACAAGTCAAGACATTTGTTCGTAATCACAAAGTACCAGAACCTATCATAGATCAAACTATTCGGGATTATTGGAATGATACATCTGAACAGAAGATTAAGCTGTTTCAAGTCTGGTACCAGAGACATGGGATGAAAGGAGCCTATGTAAACCTAATAAGAAGCCTAAGAGAGTTTAAAATGTGCGCTGCAGCTGATAAAATTGAGGAAAAACTGAAGGCAGCTGTTTCCAGCTGTCAGGAAGGGGGACAGTCTCATGGTGATGATACTGAGCAAAGCAAAACCTGCACTGAGGACAGCAGAAAAATTCTACTATCAGTAGATAGTGCTGAGCCAAGCAAAACCTATTCTACTAGTTTTGAAGAGACATAGCACGGAGTCATTTGAAAATTATTTCTGAATGAATTAGTGTTTTTCTAATAATATAACAGCTTTTAAAAGACATTTTCATTGGCAGTTTGGTTCAAGAAGTTATATGAACAAGGAAAAGTTATGATTTTTGTATCAGTATCTGTACTTTAAAAAAGGTTTATCTTTTTTTTTTTACTTGTTAAGAACTGGGAGGAGAGGTTTTATGGCCTATTTACTAAAAGGTAAAAATATAAGACTCCAGCTATAGGATTCACTACAAAAAGAAATAGTCATTACTTGAAGAAAAGGTTTAGTGTAAATGTGTGGTCCTGCATTACTTAATGTAATGTTTTGCTTACATTAAAAAATGCAACATCCCACAATTTTAAAGTGAAAACTCCGGTGTTAAGAGTCTTTGAAGTATACCGGGAAGAATACTTGAACAACAACAAAAAATAACATACACCTGATTATTTTTTAATATAGGTGTTACTGTATAATTAAATTCTACTCTGTTGTAAATGGGATTTCTCCCTTGTATAAAAGCACCTCTGTGTGTGCATATACAGAATTTTGTATATATGTATTTATGTGTGTATATGTACATGTGCAAGTTTTCTATGCAAAAGCTGCCAGTGCTAAGTAAAAATGATTGTTTCCCTTGTTGTCTGCAATGATTGCGAGCCTTTTCTAATGTTAAAACCCTTCAAAGAAGCAGGAGCTGAAGCAGCGCAGCATATCCGTGGTTTTTGGAAGGCAACCTACACAAGCTATGAAGTCTCCATCAGCCAGCGTGCAACATTAGCTTTTCTAATGCAGGAACTGATACAATGAAAACATCATTGTCATTAAAAAAATAATAAATCCATATAGCACATGACTTCTCTCTTTCCTTCTTATCATGCAATCTATAAATGTCATTTTTAGGTTTTCTTTTACTCAGGTCAGTAAATCACAAAAAGGGAGATCAGTCCCCTGAAAAAAACACCTTACCTTTCTTCCATCGCAGAGCGCTCAGTTCAGTTCCTAAATTCAAGGCTAGTAGTGCTGGGCTGCTTTGTGGCGAGGTCTTCCCCTGCTCACACACCCTTTATGCAAAGTCTCAGCAGAAGGGGAGACCTCAGTGGAAAGGTTTAATTTTTCCAGGTCACGCAGTAAAAGCAGGATGACTTTCTTCTTCAGCTCTGCCATCAGTTCCCAAGAGAGAATCTCCAGCCAACATGTGAGGAGACCTACCTGGACCTGCTCCTGCCTGCCCACTGGGGCGTGCTGGGTGTGGGGTAGGGTGCCATTGCTGCCACCTGGCCCTGGGGCTGGGGAAAGGGCAGGGCAGGTCTGGCAGCAGGGTGCCAGCTGCCGGCAATGCCGGGCACCCACAGCTGCGTGGGGCTGCTCCAAATGGTCACGCTGCTGGAAGTGAGGTGCCTGGAAGGGTAGCACGTGGCCCTTGGAAACAGCTAGAAATGTGTGTATGGCATTTAGCAGGAGCCTGAAAGGAAAAGCAGGACTTATATTATCTTCCAAAACTTTAAGCCTTTCATAGACTTGACCCATGGAAGGTCTGAAGGCTACAGAACATGTTTTTTGTTGCCAAGCCCAGACCTGGTTCAGGTTATACAGCACTTCCCCAGCTCTCAAGCATCACATCGATGCTAAATGCTTGGAAAAACCTTTCACCTCACTTTGGACTCTCTCACCTCTAACCTTTCTGCATTTTTGAAGTGTCTAATGAATCAGCTATACCTCCAAAATCCCCACATTGTGCTGCTTTTCAAAGGAAAACCTTCAGGCTGCTGTAACTGGATGGTTTGATATCTGTGCACCAGACTTAAGCACATACGGGCTGATTAAGGCATAGCATTGTATAAATGACTTGTGTCTGTGCTATCTGTGTATAGGTCTGACATGCTGTGACAGTCGCCATGGTTTGGCCAGGCTCCACATATACAGGAGAATAAAATGCCTTTCGGAAAAGCAGCACGGCAGGGGTGTAGGCTGTGCCATCTATTCCTAGGTTGCAGTTATGTGGAAGCACAGCCAAGATGGAAGGAAGGAGAGCTCCATGCTCTCACAAGCCCTCCCTGTACCATGTCGCACCCAGGGAGACATAAATGTAGCTTAAAGGTATGTTGGCAGGTGCTTGACTTGAACCTTGGGCTTTCTTGGTTGCTGACTTTATCTCTCAGAGACTAGCCTCCGGTTTCTAGACAAGCAACTTGTCCACCTCTCTCTCAGGGCTTCAGTGGGTCAGTTTGTATAACTGGTCTGAACCAGACAGATGTTAAAATGGACACATCAAACCTCATGAGTTTGTGGCAGTGAAATAGCATGAGAAATTTTTCTTTCATCACACCGGAATTTCCCCAACCTCAGTACAAGGATGGTTTAAAAAAAAAAAAAAGTCCCTGAGCAATGAGTCATACTGCAAGGCTGAACCCAGACTGCCATTAACTCTAGTGGTTAGCAGACATCATAATTCTTTTTCTTAGCTAGAACACTGTGCATCAAATAAGAGGACTGATTATATTGTGTAGTTGGTTTTCCAAAGGAGTGCGTATGTGTCTGCATTGCAGTCACAGTGCAGCGTAGAGCTGTCTGATCAATCTTAAAGTACCTGGACCAGGGACGGAAAGCGATTTAGTTCTTCTGACCCACAGTCACACACCCAGCTTTCCACTGCCTCCTGCTTCTGGCCTCATTTTCAAACTAGGGCTGCACCAGAAAATCATACCAAGCAGGTTGTATTAGCGCTGTTTCAGCTTTTGCTCTCACCTTTACTTCTCAGAAGTAAAGTCCACACTGAGTCTCATGCTGATAAACAAGATGACTATCCCTCGAGGTATTTAAAAGACGTGTAGATGTGGTGCTTAGGGACATGGTTTAGTGGTGGACTTGGCAGTGCTAGGTTAACGGTTGGACTTGACGATCTCAAAGGTCTTTTCCAACCAAAACAATTCTATGATTCTATGACTGCCATTGCCTTAGCTGCTCACTGAAATACAGTTCCAGTATCTATGCTCAGCACTCCGCACATTTGCAATGACCAGCCCCTTTCTCCCAAACAAAAAGGCTGTGTCATGAGCAGTGTAAAATAGCTCTTTTCTCAGCTTAGGTAAGGGAAAAAAATAAAAAAGGAAAAATGAAAGCAACAGAAATTACTTTGAAAACCGAAACTCCTGTTTTATGGAAACCCAGCATCAGAATAGCAAGTGGAAAGTGAAACAGGAACTTGCCCAGGGAATGACTTGGCACATTTTGAAAAGCAGATTACAAAGGGGAAACTCCTTTTTCAGGAAGCCAACTAAAACTTTACAAAACACTAGCATTTGTTATTTAAATAGTAAAACCAGAACAAATGTAATTTAAAAATAACAACAGAAGAACAGGAACATAGAAATATAAGGCCAGAAGGATGATCTCACATCAGTCCCCTGCAAATCAAAAGTCAGCACACGAGTGAGGGGTCTGTTCAGAAATTCCACAGGCTATTTTGCTTGTGCACGCCCACCCCATCTGCTCACCCATGCTGCAAACTGTAGAATAGTTCCTGTTGCTCTGCAAGCAAACCAAACACCTGCAAGGAGACAGAAACAAGATCACCATTACAGCGTGGCATCAGAAGAATGCACAAGAGGTTTAAGACAGCTCTAGTATACAGGATTCCTCAAAATGAAATAGATTATTTTTAAAGTTATCCTGCAGGCTGCCCATTCTTGTAAAGACATGGCTGAGAAATGAAGTCCTGAGTACAGAGTCTGAAATGTTTCCGCACAGATAGCATGACAAGCATATTAAAGTGTGAGAGAGCCGTAGGCTTATTTCCTGTATGGAGAAGAGGGAAGGAAAACAATACAAACAAATTTGCAAGAAGAATAAAACTGTACTGGGAAAAGCCTTGGAGTTGGACAGTTTTCTTGTTTTGAGGGAAGATACAACCTCAAAACTCACATTCCTCTCTTACTGTCAATACTTTGATTTTGGACATGAAAGAGAAGTCGCATTCCTGCTATCCCCCTGCTAGCAGGAGGAAAAATGCCCACCATGTGTATCTAGCCTCCATTATGGAGCTGCGGTTATGAATTATGAGGGATGTGGGAACAATCACAAAACTTAATGTACAGTCAGTGTTTTCTGGATAGCTTTTCGGTGGTTTTAGTTCAAGTTCCCTTCCAAACTGAAAGCAAGACTTTTAAGGCAGACAGTGCTAGAGGGCCCTTTTCCGTAGCTTTAAACAGAGGTCTCTCACTCCCCCAGTAAACCAGCAACTGTGACAAAGTGCTGTTTTCATAGCAGGCAACCTAGCAGGGAATCAGCAAAAAAATGTCTGTGATTGATTGCAGGGATGCTGAAAAGAGGTCCTGAACAAATGCAGGGGAGGAGTTAGTGATGGAAAGCAATGGCAGGAGAGAGCCAAAGATGCAGTCCTTGGAGGCACAGCCCTCAGCCTCCTGCGCCCCGGGGGGCGTGCAGCACACATTGGTCACTGACCCTGCCTCCCATACATCTTCCTGCAGTGCTGTCCGTACAACTGGCTCTCCACCTGTACGTGTGTCATTGGGATATGAACGAGAAAGGATGAGGCAGAAGTATCCAGTTTCAGTTCCTGCATATTTATCCTGCAGTCACCAATGAGGTTGATATATTTTCCAGATTATCAACATCTGAAGATTTACATTCTCTTGTCTTTTCCTGGTCCTTCCTTCATACTATATGAAGCTCCCTCTCCAGACATATGTTTAGGATAGCTGACGCTGTAGGAAACATTTTGTGACACCCCCAAATTGCTCTGATGCACTGTCAGCCCTCTGGCGAGGCAGCCCCCATCCCTGCTAGGGCTGGTTGTGCCCCGGCACCTCCCCTCTTCCAGGGGCAGCATGGGCCACAGTTGTCACTGGAGTTCGTGGGGAAGGATGGCTGTGATCTGGGCTGATCTCAAAGGGTCTTGAGGTCCAAGGTCTGTCTCTAAGACATGAGGACAACACTTAATCCTGTACTTTGGGGGACAGGGGGGCAACTAAATG